CCTACCTCTCTCTCTCTCTCTCTCTCTCTCTCTCTCTGTGGCATCCTCTTCCTCAGATATGTATTCATCGGCAAAGCAAGAAGGCAGCGACACAAGATAAAGCAAAGCGGTAGAGCCATCATGAGGAGACACTGTTTGCACCCGAGTGTCGGGAGTGTACGCCACTGGGAGTCTCTTCCTCCTTCCATCCTTGTCAAACCTTAATCTCTTGTATTTGGCTCCGCGTGTGTATGTGTTTGGCTTTCGAGGGTGATTGTTTCATGAGGTGAGCAGTTGATGGCCTGCTCGAACCGCATCATTCATGGCATCGACAGCGACCAAATTGGTCCCACTACAGGACATGACCAAAACACGCTCATCCTCACACAGCCTCAATATATATATATATATAGAGAGAGAGAGAGAGAGAGAGAGAGAGAGAGAGAGAGAAAGAGAGAGAGAGAGAGACCGATTGAATCCAAAAACCTAAATAATTATGACCAACTTTAACTCTTTTAGATTTGAAGTATAAATATGTAGAATTCTCAGAAAAGATTAAAAAGAGTCTTATATATGAATGATGATTAGTCTTAGTGATAGAATTAGGACTTTATTAGATTTATAATAAAAATTTAAATTCTTTTGACACTATCCAATGGAAGGAAAAAAAGTATTATATAGTAGATCCCAATTGGTTGGGACATTACAATTGTGATGTTATTATTGTTCTTAGGCCAACCTATATCTACATATCACACATAAATATTATTTTGCTTGGTTTTATGCCACAATGTATTTAATAAATCCCTATACAAACATTGTGGTAGGAAAATAGCTTGATTCTTGTCGGATGCAACTCTTGTTGATAGTTTTCTAGAACAATTAATTTTTGAGGGAAACCTTTTAAGTAAAGCATTTCATCTCTATTTCCTTTTGAATCATATAACAAGAATAGATGGCTAGGTAATTGTCCTCTAACCTCCAATAATTGTGATCACATAATGTCTTAAAATAGATGAATACATGCAACCATCCTATGGATTATATTTTCTGTGTGTTCTCGTTTACTCATAAACAGTAATGTCAAGCATCGAGAAAATAGTAGCAATATGTCCTTTTTGCATCCAAACCACAAGAGTATGGTCCCTTGTCAATCCTTGTCTTGCATAAGCAACACAAAAACTTAGACATACAACAAGAGATGCACATCACCATAAATATGGAAAAGAAACCTTTCACACTATCATCTTGTGGACTTTGACAAGCATCAAGGATGTGTACATAAACTTTGGGAAAACGTAAAAGTTGGAGAGATTGTGCAAGAGTTCAGCAAGTTCACATGATTGATCTCAAGTCCTTTCTCCATCATTCTCACCTGTAGCAAATGCTGTGAGGAGTCTCAGTGAAGGTGAACATGATTGCAAGGACCAGAGAGGGCCACCACCAGCACCAGCACCAGCACCAGCACCACCACGGCACCCTGACAAAACCCTCATTCATTTAGTTGATGGGTTAACACACCAAGGTGTGGCAGTGAAGATAGCTCATTGAAGCTGAAGCTCTCATCATGTCACTAACCATCAAGTACTTGCCCTCCTTTGGCCAGCAAGCCAATGCCACATGGATGAGTTCAGGCCCTCAGAGATCGAAACATCGTTATCAGAGTCATGTTGGAACCAACTATGCTCTCAAATTGTGCTCATTATCTCAAATCAATCAAGATTCAACAAGCTCAATTAACCTATCATGATAAAGCATTGATTGGCATACCACCATAGCCCTCAGATGATGAAAACATATCACATCATGATGACATCAGAAGAGAAAAATTCCTTTATTAAACTGCATAATATTTTATAACTGATCACAAAGCCCATGAACTCATTTCTAGACATACTAAACTTATTTAAACATTCAGACTTCTTATAAATTTATTCAATTTAAAGGGCATTTAATGCTCTTCTCCCCTTCAACCATCTATCTTTAAATTTATTAAGAACATCATTATCAAGCTCTCTTTTTTAAAATAATATTAAACAACATACTTTTTTTTTTCAATGTTGTTTATATAAATCTAGTTTGTACCTAACTGCACTAGAACTTCTAGTTTTCAGAGTTTACTTCAATAACTCGAATTTACAATTAATCGTTTTATACAAAGGCTCACAAATTTTTTTTGATATGGTCATTATTTTCTACCAATTGACATTTAACACATGAAATCCATGCTAATGACAGAAGATCTTACATTTATCTTTTAGTTTCAATCTAGATACATTTATCAAAAGGTTCAGTTCAGTATCAATCTTTCATATTATCAAAAAGAAATACCAGAACTTCAGTATGCAATTTAGTGCAACACAATAAATTTCACCTAGATAAACATTCAACATCACATTATTTGTAATGAAAAATCTTATGTCTACAAAGGATTTCTCTTCTCGGTGCACAAACTATAGCAGCATTGATTTTCCATACTAATGTGGAATAAATTTTCTTCGCTTGTTTCATTTTGCTTCCATTTCCTAATTTTCAGAGCGAGACCAAGACCTTGGCCTTGGAGGGAGCTACCAAACTATTCAAACTGCAATGCTGCAAACAAGAACAAGATAGAGGTGAAGCCAAGGTTTAAAACCTTGGTTCGTACAACAGTTTGATTATTTCCAACTTATAAAGCAACTAATGTCAAACACTACAAATGTTAAAATTTGAACTGGAAAAGACCAACCATTGATTAACAGAAATTGAGTAGCAACATTTGCTTATGCAATTTTGAAAATATACGGATATTTCAAATAGCACCAACAAACGCATTTGGTCCAAACATAGTCAAGACACCACCATAATATGCATCAGCATAAGGGTGCGGTATACTAACCTGCTGCAGAAATGCCAGAAGACAGATCAGGTTTATACTGCATAATACAAGTCAAATGTGCATGCTAAAAAACAGTATTTAAGATAATCAATGTCTGCTAAGTGTTCCAAGTTGCAGAGAAACATACAAATGGTAGGTTACATTCAAACCTTGGATGCATACAGAAAAGTTCTGGAGCCCCTAGAGTAAAAACTACCTCCTTAAGACCCTCAACTGTGTTACGTAAGTGCCTGAGTGGAAGAACAATTGCAACAAATCATCAAACACCAGGTGCTAGGGAAGTGACTGTAACCCATGAGAAGCAAATTATCAGCATGCTTGATTACATGGAGATAAAAAATAAACAAAGAGAAGAGCCATTATGCACTGGAAGAATCATGTGACCAATACTATGGTGCAAAAGCAAAACCAAAGTATGTTGATTCAGTCATGGCAATAATCAGGTTACACTGAAAAGAAGCCAATACAACAAATAAACTCTCTTCAGTCACATGTGAAGGAAGAGACTGTATAAAATGTATCTTGGGACTGGCTAAGTTATTTAATGCTTGTAAATTTTGTCACATGTTTCGTGAGGAAAATAACTTTTTATAAATTTCAATGACAACAAAAGATCTACGTAGCTAGACCCCAAATAGTTGAGACTTATGGTTTTATTGTTGTTGTCGTTGTTGTTGTTCCGTGAGAGAAACCGAAGTGCCAATTGATTCGCGCATTTTGCTCTGATGTCAAAACACTCCTATACGTGGAGGAATGATTAGCCGGAAGAATTGGGCTTTTTTTTTTGCTCCGAGAAGCATAATGTACCTTTTTTTAGATATTTAAAAAAGAAAACAACACTCTTCAATCACTCATCGAGGAGCATAGTGAAACAATGTTGGTCTTCTTAACATGCCAATAAACACCATGCACCTTGAAGAAGATTTTAAAAAGCCCAAACACTTTCCAAAGAAGAAAATAATGCAAATCTTGCTTCAATGACTTATTTTCAACTCAGAAAACAGTTTTAATTTATGTTTGGTGATTTCATATCTTTACTATTTTGCTTTTTTTTCTCGTAAATCCATGAGAATCAGGCATATCACAACCTTCTAGGTATCAAAACAGTTTTGCTCATGTAATCTGTCAACCCACCTAAAAGCCAATTAAGGCCACACATGCACAAAAAAAAACAAAAAATGGACACACACCAATTAAGGTTTTGAAACAACTGGAAACAGTTTTGTTCATGTAATCTGTCAACTCACCAAAAAGCCAATTAAGGCTACACATGCACAAAAGAAAAAAAACACACACACAAAAAGAAAAGAAAAGAAAAGAACACAGGAAACCGATGAGAAAAGATGGAAAAGTTTGATCACAAAGATATTCAAAAGGAAATCAACATAGAAACAAGAACAGACTGGTCCAACTTGCATGTAGGAGTGCATGTAGATAAGAGGGATCCATGGATCTTGAGAGCTTTTAGCCAAGAAATCCCATCAATCTTGGCCAGTCGTGACCTTAGTTGGTCAACTGCACAATTAAGAACCATCTTTCTCTCAAAAGTCCTATGTAATCGGAGAAACCACGTACACAGTCGATCCATGAAATCGTAGGTCATCACATCAGCATAAGCAGCAAAAAGAAAGATCAGTAATACTGATATGATTCAACATTATGAGCTGATGGCAGCAAAAAGTTGTGGGACTGATTGAATCCACTCCGATGATGGAAGATTCATTGAGCAATGAAATGAAACCTATATTTAATCCAAAAAGTTGATAGAAAATCAAAGACATACAAACAAAAAAGCCCTATCAGAGTAACTATGACAAAAGCTCCACTTGGAAATAATTCCATAGCTTTCAAGAGTTATTCATCACTTAGGGTCACCATTTTTGTAAGAGAATATAACTTATCAAGTTAAATGAAACCTATAATTAATCCGAAAAGTTGATAGAAAATCAAACACATTCAAGTATCAACAAACACAAAAGCCCTATCAGAGTAACTATGACAAAAGCTCCACTTGGAAATAGTTCCATAGCTTTCAAGAGTTATTCATCACTTAGGACCACCCTTTTCCGAAGAGCCAAAAACTTATCAAGAACAATAATAGACACACTGCCAGCCATACTTCGAACGTATATAACCAAGAAGACAAGCCTGCATTAATGAATCATATTTACTAGTTCGAATCAAGATAGTCAGAGTGTCGAGCATGGACAGACAATATCATATGGTTGTTCAAATTTATAACAGCAATTAGCAACCAATCAAGACTTGTTTTTCATAAGCTTCCCCAAATTGATAATCGATCAACCCCAAACCCTACTCATCAATATGATGGAATACCCCACACCTAGAACTATTTGCCAAGAAGGCCTTCGACGAAGGGTCGAAGGGGAGGCGAAGTGGTAAAACAGATTCTTTTTCAAAGACTACGATGAGAATACAGCAGCCCACGTATCTGTCAATGAGAAACCTGAGGGAAAAAAGATCAGTTCTTGACAAATCGATGAAGGAAGAGAAGAACCCAATCAAAGGGAGATGAAAAAGAATCGACAGCAGCTAAGGTAAGAACAGATCTTTTCTTGGCAGAAATTTAAGCAACTTCTCGGCCACGTATCTGTCAATCAAAACCATTAATGAGAGAGAAAAAAAGATCAGTTTTTGACTAATCGATGAAGAAAGAGAAGAACACGATCGAAGGGAGACGGAAACGAATGGATGTGGAAAAGATTGGGCACGCTTATCATAACGCAGAGCCTCGCCCTAACCATTCATGGTGAGGAAGGAAGGAAGAGAATGGATCGCCGCATTCGCTCCCCTCTTCCAAACCCTAACAGAAGACATGGTCGATGGCGACAAGTGCCGCCGTTATATCGGCGGCAGACGAGGCACTTTTCACATAAGCCCTTATAGATTCCAATATCGCTTCTTTAATGGACAGAGGAGAGGAGGGAACCGCCGGTCGAGTCGTGCACTCTTGTTCTCCGTCGGCTCAATTGGACCGGGCCCGAATCAAACCGCTCATATTAGCCGGTTAAGTGAATGCATAATTTTTTTTCCGTAATAAAATGATTAAACTTACTATCGGCTCAATTAATCCATTGATGCAATTAATGAACGATTAAGTCATACAAATAATGTCTAATTTTTAATTAAACAAGTTGAGCTTTAAACCACTAAAATGCTTAATTTTCCTATTGGCGTATTTAAGTCTTTTTATTATAAATATGTAAAAGAAAAAAAAATGTCTCTCATTCCCTCGACTCTCTTATTATAATCTCTATCTTCTTTTGCTATATTATATAAATATTATTATGTCATTTACCTATTTTTATTTTTAGTATAAATAATTTTAGATTTCTAAAATGTAATTATTAGTCGGATTAGTTAATCCATCAGTGTTTAAGTCCGAAAATAATCTGTAATTCATTAATTAAACAATCTGAAAATGCTTGATTTCTCCCTAAGCATATTTGAGTCTTTTTATTATAAATATGAAAGAGAAAAAGTTATTCTCCCATTTCCTCAATCAGCTCTCATATTATCAAAAAATGTTATTGTATTATTCATATACTTTATCTTTTTTATGATTATAAAGTTTTTCCTAAAATAAAATACTAGTCCAATCAATTAATAATCCAGTGATAATTCACAAATTAAACAAAACTAGTTTTTAAAAACTAAAATGCCTAAATTTTCTCTGTGCCAATTAAGGTCTTTTTTATTACAAAAAGGAAAAAAATCTCTTATTTACTAACACAACTACCTCTGTCATTCTTTTTTACTATATTATATTATTTATATATTTAAGAGAAAAAAATATTCATCTCCGATGATAACTATAATATAGTCAACAAAAAGAAAATCATAATCAATTACATGGATATTATTTAAAAAAAAAATTGAGAAAATATTTGTATCTAATATAATATTTCATTCATATGCCATTCATATGTTTTGAAACATTTCACAGTCATTGATATATTTTAAAATATCTTATATATCATTGATATGTTTTGAAACATTATCCTTGCACCATTCATATACTTCGAAATATTTTATACGTTATTTATATTCCCCATAACATTTCATATGTCCTTGATATACTCCGAAATACCACACATGTAATTAATATGCTCCGTAATATTTCATACGCTATTGATATGCTCCGAAATGTTTCATATACTATTGATATATTTCGAAACATTTCATACGCTATTGATATACCCTGAAATGCTCATTACGTCAATGATTTGCTCCAACTAATCTTTACTCAATTGTTATGAACAAAATATGTTTCGAGTGATACGACATTGTAATTTTACATTCGAGTAGTTATCTACGAATTATTGTATCTCTTCTTTGTATTTGGTATCTTATTTGTTTTAAACTATTATCTTTCGCTACGGATATGTTAGTCACTTGTTGAATTCTTATATTATTTTTTAAATTAAATATATTATAAAAAATATATATTTTTATTTATTAAAAAAATATTTTATTAATATGATATAATATTTTTTAAAAATATATTATAAAAAATATTATTCATTTCTATTTATTAAAAATCCTTCGGTGGACAATATTTTGAATCAATTCGGACTAAATCACTCATAATTGACATCCACCACATAATTCTTTTTATTTTTTTTAATATAATTAATCCGATCAATTAATTCAAACGGTCACACAAGACATGATTGTATTAGAAAGACAGTATAATACGGGTAAGTGTATATATATACGTATATACGTATAGACAACCAAATAAAGCCATTAATTATTTGAGGGTTGTTTTCGCGAAAATTGTTGGCGGTCTTTTTCCCTCTTTTGGCTTTCGCTGTCTTCTTATCCAGCGAAGGGAGGCGGATGGGGATGGAGAGGGGGCGGGTGGGTGGGAGCGGCACATCGGCCTGACATGGAGAGGCGAGCAACCAGTGGCGTGCGAACGAATGGCCGTCGAGGTGGTGGTGGGGGAGGCAGGAGAGGCAGGAGAGGAGGACGGATCAGGGAGGATGAATCGAGGACGAGAAGGAACCGCTTTGGTTCCCGGTTCTTTGGTGGCCGCCGTTTACGGCCGTGGGCGGTGCCGGTGGTACGTCCTGATCACGTCGTCTAGTCCCCGTTTGACCGACCCCGACCTCGACCCGAGGAGTAATCTGGGTGCGTTCTTACGACAGCACGAGAGCGAAGAAGGAAACGTCGTCCCGAGGAGATTACTTGGACGCTACTCAATCCTCCCTCCTCCCTCCACCACCACCACCAGCAGCAGCAACGACATGATTGAGATGTGGATTGAAGGTGCTACTCTTCACTATCATCTTTGTGGTCATAGTTATCATAATCGGATCGCTAGGTTGTTTGTTGAACTAATCGATAAATATCAGATTTAAATACACTGCGAAAGAGGATAATAGTGACGGTGACCGATGGATGTTTTGATTGGATTACTAGTAATTTCAAATGTTTGAGTTGTCAGGAAAAGATATGATGTACATTAGGTTTTACAAGTCGGATTAGGGTTAGTAAACCAAGATCAAGTGCATTGTGCAAGCCAATTAAGCAGAAGAATATTGCACAAGTATTGATCAAACACCTACACACCGGATGAAATTGGAAGGGATTGATACTGTGGTGGATGCTTCGAAAAATTTCAATCCCAGAATCTTAGGCTATTAGGAAAGAGCCTAATGTGTTAGACTTCAAAGATGACAATAGAGCAAACACATATGGGAGACATTTCAATCTTTTTTAAATTCAAGGGCTGTAATTAGTAACTATACCATCAAAGGTTTGCTTTCTCATTATTTTGGATCCGACGACCCATCCAATGAGGATCTTCATTTCCCAGGATTTAGTAGCAAACTAAGCTCTTTTCTTTTTTGAAAATAAAATGGATGAGGACACAAATTAAATTTGGAACGAATGGTAGGGGAAACTCTTGCAAAGAGTTGGAAATACTAATTGTGAATTTTCATTTCAATTCATATGCTTCCAAATTATAAGAGACCCACTTTGATGTTAAGTCTTGTTGTCCAGTCGTTTTACATATCAGTATTAGTTTTGACATAACAAAATAAATTGGGATGTTGGCATTGATGGACTTTTATAGCCAACCTCCATGATTGACTTTGAGGTAATAGGATTGATGTTCTAATCAATTTGATAGGACTCTAAAACAACTATTACATGAGATCAATTGATGCTATTTTTAATAATTAAAACCTAATTTTCAAAAATTAATTGCTAACTTCGTTTTTAAAATTTTATTAATCTAACACTATTTTTTAAATCTTAGTGATGTTTTCAATCTCGAAAGGAATTGTTTTCTAAGTTAAGAAAACTCTAATTAGTTATTCTTATGGTGTAGACAAAATTTTCAATATTCTTTTTTCCAAAAAATATTGGAAAACATATATATTTTTAAAAGAAAATTCTTTTCCATAGTACCGGACACACCCTAAAGGCCAAAAGATCCAGACCTGATCATTTTGTGACTTGTTTGCACATCCAGAGCAGTACATTATAATTGCAAGGACAAGGTCGACTTGACTTCCATAGATGAATTTGTTGTATATGTTTGTCTGCATATGTTTCTCAACCTATTTTCCCTGCAGTGAAGCCCAAATGGAACAGGGCAAAGTTCCAACTCATGACCATGGATCCATTCTTTGACTGAAAGCGAAATGTTTTTTCAGGTTTTATCTCCTGGCTGACCTTTAATAAAAGAAAAGAAATGATTCTGGGAGTATTTAGACCGAGTCGATAGTGTACATTGTAAGATATTAAATGATAAACAAAGACTTAGAATATTACTACCAGAAAAGATGAATTATTGCTCTGCTGCTGTTGCAATTATTATTATTATTATTATGAGCAGAATGCCATCATTATTGTTATTTGATGGAAGAACTGGAGATAAGAGAGTAGATAGGAGGAGAAAGACAGAGCACAAAACTACAAAAGGAAAGCAAGAGGGAAAAGGAGTTCTGAATGAATTCTAGACATACCTTATCCAGGACCAATAATAGTCAAACTCATGACAAGCAGCAGCACTGACAGAGATCAGCTTCTGAGGAATCACTATGCACTCTCAATCCGGGAGTGCCCAACACCAACAATTAATGAGACCTATTCTTCCTTTCTTTTACTCTTTTTTTTTTCCTGTCCCTCTACTGACAACAGATGATGTCTCAAGAGCGTGACAAAGTTGGCTTGGGTTGACAGGTTAGGCAGGACATCAGTTTGAGGAAAAATGTTTGAGCAGAGTAACCAAGAATATATGATCAAAAAAGTGCTACAGGTCAGTGTGATACACTTCTTCTTTTGTTAAGTATTTGATAATGACATTATCATTTTACATGGTTATTATTTCTAAAGTTCAGTGTTGGAAATTTTTTGGGAACTTATTAACCCATCTATTGACCAATCATAATTTACTTGCAGAAAAGGAATGCATGTCAGAAGAAATATGTTCAGAATATATGATTAAAGAATACAGCAAGTATCTGTTTTGTTTGCGACCACAGAATCAGAAACCCTTTGTCTCAAGGATGGATGGTGCCTTCCAGTTAGATAAAAAAAAGGACAACCATAGTTCCTCAAACTAATGTTTTGCAAGTGAAACCTCTGTCTTCTTGCTCTTGAAGTCGCAGGATATGTGCCCCCCACAAAAGGCCAGGTCTGATTCTAGAAGACCAGGTTTAATATTTGATTGGGGCCATACTTTTCAGTCTACAAAAATAAAATAAACCCTAAACAATGTCTCAAGCATGCATGTCCTGACATCAATTATGGTTTTCTGTACACTAGAAAATGAAGTGTCCCCACGCTGGTCAATTACATCCATATGAATGGATGTATCATCTGCTAACCCACATCAGCATAAGTTGGAAAGAAGGTTCTAATGGTGGTGATCTGTCTGCTTCTGTGACTTAATCTGACATGTTTTCACTGTACACAATGCTTTGTGCCACATAATTAGGTGAGGCACTCATTGGACCTGCTACTATTCTGCTCCCCAGAGTATTATTTGCTCCAACTTTGATCAAAGTATAGTGTTTGGAAGTAGAATTAGCATGATTGCAGTATATCAAAGACAGTCGTTCATGTCCAGAGAACCGATATCTTGGCCAGGATTGGATTCATTGAATCAAGTTGCAAGACTATTCCTTCAACCAAATCATGATGTGATATCAAATCAGAAAGCAGCAGGAGATTCTTGTATTCACTTGGTTTTATCTGTATTATATTGAGGACTGCTTTGAATACCATCAGTCTTGTTTGTGGAAGTGTCACACCAAGCAGAAAAAATCAGAGAGTTCCTTCCTACCCTTGGTTTGGTGGACAGACCTTGAAACTGAAGTCTTCTCGACACCTTTTGTCCTCCATGGTCTCTCTTGCCATTGGCAAAGTCAAGGGTCAGCCTCGGCATTTTCCTCACGCCAGGGCAGAAATGGCCCTTAAATTTGGTGGAGCAGTTGGTATGACATGAATAATTGGCTTCTGCTCCCTCCCTTGGCCTCTTTGAGCTCTTCTTCCTTGGCGACATCCTTGTTAGCTGCTCCGACATGGGAATCCATGGGACCGTTCACCTTTACTGATCGAGTTGCACTTCACCTGTCAAGAGGCTTCACCATCTCTGCAGGATGTCGAAGGCCTCATTGTGGAGTCTTCTTCTGCCGGGATGCTATGGAAGCGGTCACAAAAAGCGGTCGAAGAAGCAGATACCAATCCAGCGGCTGTCCTTCTCCGACGTCAGTTCCTCCACTGGCGTGTTATCCCCGGAGGACCTGTCCATATCTCTGGTGGGATCGAATCTCTATGTCTTCACCTTGGCTGAGCTGAAGGAGGCGACGCAGAGCTTCTCCGTCGGCAACTTCCTCGGAGAAGGTGGCTTCGGGCCCGTCTACAGAGGCTTCGTTGACGAGAAGGTGAAGCCCGGGCTGAAGTCACAGCCGGTTGCGGTGAAGCTCCTGGACTTGGATGGCGGGCAGGGCCACAAGGAATGGCTGGTGAGCGCTGCTATTAGCATGGCTTCTTCCCCTTCCCTCATGCGCTCCTGCACGAACTTATGTTGCTTGCTTCCTGTGGCTCATCGACAGGCCGAAGTGCTTGTTCTCGGACGACTGCGGCATCCCCATCTCGTGAAGTTGATCGGGTACTGCTGCGAGGAGGAACACCGGCTGCTGGTGTACGAGTTCATGCCTCGGGGCAGCTTGGAGAACCATCTCTTCAAAAGTATGTCCGTTTTCCTCTTGAATAAAGTTTCCATTTCATTGTCACCGTAAGTTGCCATCAACTTTTCAACAAGTTGTTTATGAGCATTTCTTTCTTGCACTTCATCATTGCTACATGCCAGATTATATCATAGTGGAGGAAATCCTGTAACGTCTTGTTCTTATTGGTTGCTTGATCCTTGTAAGGCATCTTGCTTTTTTTGGTCTTCACTTTCGAAGATCATAAAGCAACCAGGGATTCATCAAGGAAAATTACTTCCATGACTCTTAGAGACTGTTGTCTTGCTCCAAGGTTTCTTGGCAGCTGGAAAAGCATAAGACTTTTAACATGTTGCTTAATGACTTAGTCTTCATTTGTATTAATGAATCTAAACAGGTTAATTTGATGTCATACAGAAAAGTATTAGCAGGGGTCTTTGCTGAACGAGTCAACTCTCTAATTCCCATTTTGTGGAGAAGTGGGACATGGAGAATGCTTTTCCAATACATACAGACATACTGTTATGGGGTTTAAGAGTGGACTTGACCACTCTGTGCATGCCATGGCATCTCTTGTCATTAATTAGGAAGCAGTCTAAATGCATTAACTTGTTATAAATCTCTCATATCTTCATAGAGGAAGATACTTAGCATTAAGGAATTAAGCTTGCTGAATCATCTTAGTTGCTTGATATGTGCAGGATATTATACTCCTTTGCCCTGGTTAGCGCGATTAAGGATCGCCGTGGGAGCTGCCAAGGGCTTAGGTTTTCTCCACGACTCCGATAAGCCGGTGATCTACCGGGATTTTAAAGCTTCAAACATCTTATTAGACTCGGTGAGTCTTCTTTAATCTCTTATTTCTTATCGAAAGATGGTTGAAACATGAATATGGCACAACAATTGGGAGAGCCATGGATGACATCTTCATGGTAGAAAAGAAGGATCATCCTAGCAATCTTTTTCCTGGCAATGAGCTCATCTTGGAGCTACCTTTAGACAGGAGGAAGAAGTATCTTGGACCAGACTTCATTGTGATGCAGTGACAAACTTGTGCTTCCAAAACACTATTCATGGAGCATCAATTGGCATCACAATGGATCTGTTGTCCCAGTAAACTAGCATTTCTTCCTCCACTGTCCACTGAAATGGCCTCTCTGCCTGGCCACGGCAAAAGACTTTACACTCTTTTTCTGTCATGCTTAATTGGGCAACTCTGTCCCTCAAGTTTCAGGACTACAAGGCAAGGCTCTCAGACTTCGGCCTCGCCAAGGACGGTCCGGAAGGAGACGACACACACGTCTCCACCCGAGTCATGGGCACTCATGGCTACGCTGCACCGGAGTACATCATGACTGGTGAGTCTCTGATACAGCTCCCATCTTCTTTGTTCGGAACTGGTTCTTCATCTCCTCTGCCATCGCCAGGCCACCTCACGGCCAAGAGCGACGTCTACAGCTTCGGAGTCGTCCTGCTGGAGCTGTTGACGGGGAGGCGGTGCGTCGACAAGGCGCGGCCGAGCAGAGAGCAGAACCTCGTGGAGTGGGCGCGACCGTGTCTCAGTGATCCACGGAAGCTGTACCGCATCATGGACCCCGGTCTCGAGGGCCAGTACTCCACCCAGGGAGCTCAGAGGGCCGCGGCGGTGGTCTACCAGTGCTTGAGCCAGAGTCCCAAGTCCCGACCTCACATGTCGGCCATCGTCGAGGCCTTGGAGCCGCTCTTGGACATGAACGATGTGCTACTAGGCACCTTCGTTTACGTAGCACCAGTCGCAGAGAACGGTAGCGAAGAAGGAACAGAGACGGTGGGCATGAAGGAGAATGGCCTCCGCCGCCAAGGCCACATGCACAAGCTGAGGTCCCCAAAGCCCGGGAAGCTCTCTGATGTCCTTTGCAGGGAAGTAGGGAGTCGAGTGCGCAGGAACTCACCCATGCATCACAAGAAGAACGACACATAAGCCTTCAGAAACAATGATCTTGCTGTCCAGTTCTCAAAACCACTGCTACTGCTGCTGCTGCTGCTGCTGCTAATGAAGAGATGTAAATGACTGAATTTAGAAAATAAAAGCATGATGGAAAGAAAAAATTGAATCATGTAAACAAGAGAGAATTTAAAAAAAAAAGAAGAGGAAAGATTCAAATGCTTACAGAGATTATTGCAGAAGGTCATGTCATGTTCATGTCACTTTCAACATGACAAGCAGTTTGATGCTTTTGCTAAGCAAGAGTCAAGAGTTGTGAATGATTAATATCTTAAGATAAGATTGATGATGCCAATCTTATCTTATATGTTCTAATAGTTCTGATTTGCTTGAACTGTGTGATGTTGAGAAGTGGTTGAGAGAATGATTTGTACATCATGTCATCAATTAAAGGTACGAAAAAAAGAATATCCTGTGATTAAAGAAAAAGGCATGCATGTTGGGTGGCATGTAACTTCTTCCATATGCTATCACATAAATAAGAGCGAGATGATATTGAACACTGGTCATCCCATGCAACTAGTAAGGCAATAAAGTTGCAGAGTGTAAGCTCTATGTGAAAAGGTTGTACAAAGCTAAGAAAGATAACTTGTCACCACCTCTCTCTCTCAGTAGTAGTAGTTGTATGGAGACAAACACAAATCAAATGGACCATAATATTGAATGAGGAAGGCATGTTAAATATCTGATCAACCTGAGATCGATAAAGCAGTTGAAAGACATCCTTCAAGAAAAGGAAGATATGTTGTCACTACCTTTGATATTTCTCAATCACATCCTTTATTTGATGAGCCAGGTTCATGTTGTGACAACTCCCACCTAGGGAATAACCAAAGTCATGTCGTAAGCGATAACCATACTGGAAAAAAATGGAATTCCCTAATCATGGACGAGCTTAAGATGCAGGCATGTAGCAAACAGAAAAAATGGTTACTCTAACAAAATTATGACACTTGAGTGAATGGCTAATGGCTCTCTGTTGTCGTTAATTTTTTTCTCCAACCTTATTAAAAATTACCAATCCTTAATGACCATAAGTCAATGGGTTACCTCTATCTCTGTAGCTTTGAAGTCCTTCTGCAGAACTGATTGTAGAGCAGATATTGCAGTCTGCAATAATCAACATAAGATTAGCCAAATACTCTATATACTAACCAGTGATTCGTTAAGGAGAAACACTATCTGAGCTTATGGATCAAAGGGTCTTGTATAAGCATAATTCAAAATGAAAAAAAAGAGCTCCAAAATTAAAAAAGACCAAAGAAAGGAAGTAGAGAACACACAAATTGGGAGAGAAAGACCAACATTACACAGATGTGTTTCCCACTACCCAATACTTGGTGTCAAGACAAGGAAAATACCAACTCAATGTACTAACTAAACCACCTACTGGGAGATGGTACATTTGCCTATTTGGAAGCAGTAAAACTTCTACAGCCAAGAATCGGAAGACACAACATTGGTGGAAGTTAATTGTAGAAAGTTGCAGGTAATTCTGCCATAGGAAACAGATGTTCAATGCACACCAATTACAATCTGTCATATCTTACCTGCACAGTTTCCTCATACGAGAATGCTGGATCATTCTTCATTTTCTTCTCCAGCAAGTCGATTGCTTCTTGTTCTTTCAAACCAGCACTTGCAGCCTGGAACAGAATACTATAAACTCGTGCTATCAACCATATTGGAGAAGCTAATATAGTCACAAAGATAGTTGGCTTAGAGGACTGGTCTTCTGAACATAAAATCATAATAAATAAATAAATAAATATCTGTCATGACTACAATTCATTTACAGTTAGATGCCAACAACATAAACAGGACTGGCTTCAAAACCATCTCATGATGATCAAGAAAAAAACACTAATCAAGTTTTATCTCTTCACTCATTTTCTTCCAAATTATGTTCCAGTTTATGCTAATCATGTTCTCAAAAGTGTCCATACGTATACCACATAAAGATGAAAGAAAATTTGTTGTCAATACCACGGCAAAATCTTTACTACCAAAAGCACCAACTCAAAAGACTTCCTACTTCCATAGATGTTAAGGAAATTTGTTTATCAGATAATTATGTACCAGTCATGGCCTCCTAACTGCAACAATCACAATGAGGGTGTCACTGTCTAAAGTAGATGTAAAGATGTTATTAACGATCAATAATGTTAACATAAAATAAAGAACTCCTACTAGCATCTTGGGAAGAATAAATTCCCACTGGACAAAAACAACAGATGCAACACTAAAAAATTGGGGTAATTATAGATTACCCCCTATAGTTACATAGGATTAGCATCTTGGTCCCTATACTTTAAAAAGTAGCATTGAGATCCTTATACTTACGAAAGTGAAACATTTAACCCCAATTCTCCTTATGTCATCAATTTCGTCTTGAATGGACGGGGTAAAAAAGTAATTTCATATAAACTTTGGACGACAATTTCACTTTCCTCCCTTCGTACGACAGCGGCGTCGGTGGTGCACGAGGTCGGCAGTGCCGGTGACATGCGATGTCGGCACCCGGATCTCTTCTAGAATGCCACCCTCGTGCACCTTCGGCTGCACTGCGGATGACAAACTAGCGGCGGCGTCGGTGGCACGCGAGGCCGGCGCTCGGATCTCCTCTAGAAAGCCACCCTCGTGCGCTAGCCTCGCACACCTCCGGCTGGGCTGCAGACGGTAGACCAGTGGCGACATCGAGTAAAAAATATCACGCCAGCAACCCTCTCGTTCCTTGCGAAAGAAGAGTATGACGAATGAGCGAGGGCGACTTGATGTCCATGTTCTCCAGGCAGTTCGAGGGGGTTGCGCTGAGGCCGTGAATGCGAGAGGACAAGCTCTTCGAGCGGGCCTTGGTGGTGTACCCGGAGGGCACCTCGGACTGATGGTCCGCCATCACGATGCAGTTGGCAGGGCCGAGTTCCGCTGAGGCATGGGAGCACTACTAGACCCTGGTGGAGGATTGCAGCATGATCAAGCGAGGGATGATCGAGGTGCCAGACTACTGGGGAGAGGCGGATGACGGTGGGAGCGACGACAAGTTCGATGGCAGCGCGCAGCACTGCTAGCAACTGACTGCCTGGGGCAAGGGAGAGCAGCGGAAGCGCAGCGTCCCTTAGGCCAAGTACGGGAAGGGGGACCAGAGGAACATCTTTGCGGTGGGTGGTGAAGACGAGAACACCGACAAGAAAGGTAACCGCACGAGTTTGCATCCATGCATTCTTTCTTATGCCAAAAGTTTATATGAAATTGCTTTTTTACCCCTTCCATTCACGATGAAATTGACGATATGAGGAGAATTGATGTTAAATGTTTTACTTTCATAAGTGTAGGGATTTCAATGTTACTTTTTAAAGTATAGGGACCAGGATACTAATCCTATGTAACTACAGGGGGTAATCTATAATTATCCCTAAAAAATTATATGCATACTGACTTTGTGTGATGCTTAAAATATTGGTTTCGTTCATCACAAGGATAATAAGCCAAAAGAGGGCGACCATACCATGTTGCTAATACATCAATAGGCATCTCATATCCCCATTTGAAACGAAATTCAGCTGCCTCATTTCTTGCTTGCTGGACTAATGATCTTGCATCAGCTACAATGACCACAGTATCAAATCTTAATCATATTGAATGATATATACATTAAACATATCCTATGACACCATATTACTAACAGCAACCAATGCGTCAGATCCTCTAAAAATATAACATCATGATGTAAGCTTCTACAAAGTTCTTCCAAATGTGGGGTTAAAAATACCTTGTTTGCTGTTGTTTTGAATAACCTGTTGTTTTCAACGTAGATACAGATGCTTAACCATTGCTGCAATATAAGTTACTCATTCGTCTTCTAGCATCATTTGAGACCGATGCACCTGAAAAGTTATGAAAGGACACATCTTTATCCTCACATCTAAAATTGAAAAAAGACCTCAACATCGTGACTATTATCTTTTACATTTATAATGCAAATGACATATATCAAAATTTTGGTTTTCCATCATCTTATGTAATTTCCACTGTTGTTATCCCAAAGTCGCGAACGTAACTTCTCTATATGTGATCGTAAGGTTGCATACATTCACTTCCAAGATGTCGTGTTGGTGGAAGCCTGGTGCACTCGATTCACCCTTTATCTTGTTATCCCAAAGTCTAAACCTCCATAGCCATAAGACCAAGCACTTCTTTATGTTTACATGAAAAGTAAATAAAGTTGACCTGATTCCAACCCTTTTATCGAAGGATTCAACTTTGACCCAATCAACCACTTAATTCCAGCAATCTTCTTGTCCATCTGCTTCTTAAGTGTAAAACCCACTATCCTTAGCTTGTGGCACAATGATGACACCAGATCCACCCACATTCCATCCTTCAATGACCACAAATTCCTTGAACTACACTAAGGAAACTATTGAAATGTCACCAACGAAGTACTCCAATGAGAGATTTTTACAGCATTCATATAAACAGGAAGCACAATGAAGCCCTATGTCCATCAGGCAGGCCTACCATCCAAGTTTGAAAATATCTCATCTGGAATATCCAAAAGAACAAGCTAGTCAGCAATTTGAATGCAAATTTAGCTGCATAAGATGATGCAAAACAAATCTGCCGTAGTAGATAACTAATGAAATCCTGCAACACTCTTTCTGCATCTTTCTTTCTTTCAATGAATCAGATTTTATAAATTCCCTCCTCAACCACTCAGACCATTGTAGATCCTCTTCCTCTCTCTTCGGAATTGGTTTCTCTTTTTTCCTTCCAAGATTTCCCTTCGTCAAACACATTCAATAGATGGTATAAACAATTGTCTACATGTACCAGAAATAAAAAATGGTACTCCATGAGGCTAACATACATACTTCAGAAACCTCATATAACTGAAAGCATCTGCACACTAAATTAAGCAACATGATCATTCACTACAAAGGGAAGAAATATAGGAAACCTGTCATCCCGGTGGCTAACAATCCAAGGTACTTCGTAACGGGGAAGAGATGCGTGACACTGGTCTGATCCAAAGGCTTGTCCTACATTGAGTTGTTGACTATCTCATACGAAGAACGATCGCATATCGGAGGACAAATTAAAGAGTGAGGCTAAGAAATACTCACGGGGACCTTCTTCTGGGTGACAACGCACACGGAATCCTTTCCTCGGACTCCAATCGACGTGATCCCGGAGGCCTTGACGGTCTTAAACGCGTTCTCTGCCCCAAAATCAAACGATAGATCAAAAATCACTTCTTGTGGTGGGGGATCAAGAACCCGAGGGCTTACTGACTTAGTAAAGGCGGCCCTCGGGCGAGAAGATTGTGGTGTGACGATCGTAGCCGGCTCCCGTTTCGCGACTCATGGCCCTCAGCCGGAGCTCTCCTCGATCGGATTAGGCTTGCTCCGATGTCTCGAGAGCCATTAAGCTCTCGGGGGAGCGAAGGAAGAACGAGAAGGCTTCGAGGCTTTCGTTTGCGCCGCAAGAAATATGACCTCGCTGTTCTATTTGCTATTAGGTCCCTTTTCGATCATTTATTTCGAAAACAAACCTCTTTGTTACTTGGTGAAGTCCCTCCCGCAGTGAGAAATATGTTTGTATTTTTTGCTATTAGATCCCTAAAAAATCAGTTTTTATACAATTCAACAAAAAACATGCAAAGATAAGCCCCCTGCCCTGTGGGGTCCGCACTCGTCAACCAGTCGGAGGGCTTTCTCTCGTGTTTCCACTCTCGGCGGGGCGCAGGAGCCGCACCAACACACGTGTCGCGCTTTTGCCGCCTCTGCCGTCCGTGACGCTGTCAGTCTCCAGCATCCAATCTCGCCGCCCCCTATTACGTTTGACGTACTCCCGTCTCGTGTACGGCCCGCCGTTGTGAACCAATGGGAGGGGCTTCTCATGTGTTTCCTGGCTCGCCGCACCGAGCAGTTCGGTTCACGTGTCGTGCTTTTGTCGATTCTGGTTAGTGCGAGGCTGTTCGGTCACCGAGATCTCATCTCGCTACGCCTATTGCGTGTAACGTGCGCTTGAAAGAAGTCATCCATCGACCAGCGACATGGCTAGATGCGATCTCTGCCGTTCATCTCGCATCGTATTTCTTCCCTGTCCATCTCTGCATCGCGTGATCCACTGATCCTTGCAAGAAACCATCCTCCTTTTTCTTGATCTGTCCCTTCCGATTCTTTGTATCTGTTCTTCCTCGAGATAAAAAGGGCGTCGCTTTGCTGGCCAGCGTTCGGATTTTGGGGATTGGGAGTGGATCCGGGGAAGCAAATTTGTCGACGCTAGGGTTTCCAAAGATTGCATTTTTCTGTGAGGAAATTTGGGGAGATCGTGAGCTAGGGGGTGGTGAGGCAGTGGAGCATCCGGGCCTTCAATGCTACTTGTGGGAGATCTGGAGAAATTGCAGGTGACTTTTAACAGTCCGAACGGGTTGTGGCGCAATGTCGTGGTCGGGACCGGAAGATGTCTTGCTCTCCACCTCCCTTGCGAGCTACCTTGACAGTAATCTTTGGCCGGTTTCTCTTGTCGTGGAAAATCTTTGCATAGTTTTGTTGTGTGATGAATAAGCGGGAATATATTAATGCTAGATTGGTTATTATCTTTTAGATTTGGACCTTATGTTCTAACATCCGATCTATTTCACCAATCTTGCTTTGGTCGAAAGTTCCGGTTTTGTTGTCTTATTTTAGCCCTCTCGAACTCTCTTGCGAGCTACCTTGACAGTAAGCTTTGGCTAGTTGCTCCTATTGTTGCAAACCTTTACATAGTTTTGCTGCATTAATCTTCTGCAATGAATTGTGCGGAATATCTTAGTGCTAGATTGGTTATCAGCTTTTAGATTTGGACCTTATGTTCTAACAATCGTTCTATTTGACCAATCTTGCTTTGGTCAAAAGTTCCAATTTTGTTATCTATTATATTACCTACGTTTTCTATCTTGCAATTCTTTGTTACTTCACTTTGATTAGTAAGGCAGAACTTGTTATGGATTACAAATATCCTATATATGGATTTTTTTTATTCATCTGATTCGAATTTTCTTCCACTGCTTTCTCTTTATTGTGGATAGTGGTCTCATAAGATCTAAGAAGCGACCTGGTTATGTTTTTCCAAGTGTTCATTGTAAAAGTTATGTCAATGAGGGTTGGCTCCAATGCATTCTTGTTTAACTAGCAGGGTTGGTGGTTACTGTTCTTGTCAAGTTCAAATATACCTGCAAAAAAAAAAAAACTTATTTGACTTGTTTGAATACACAAACTTAATAGTATATCTATGTGGCTATCATTTAAGGGTTCATTGGTTATATGGTGAATTCGAGTTGCTCGAATAATGCAATTCCAGACGAGATGTTAGGTTGGAAATTGTTTGGGTAGATTTTCTTTTTAAGGATCTCTACAGTCAAAACAGATGGTCGTGTAACTTTATTCAGTTGGTCTACTGTTGGAAATTGTTGGGTAGATTTTTTTTCTAAGGATCTCTACAGTAAAAACAGATGGTTGTATAACTTTATTCAGTTGGTCTACTGACTTAACTTGCGATGACTAGTATATTTTTTAAACTGAAGAAAGTGTATGACCTTTGCACAGCACAAGAACATTTGAAGCAGATTATATATGTTTTTCTGACATCCTGTTTCTGCCCTCAAATAATCTGACAAGATACTAGTCAAATGCAACTTTCTTTCATGTTCATTGCAATATTGCAGCTTATAGCTTCGCTAGGCAGTGACAGCAAAAATATTTGAGTGTGGGATTAGTCTTAATGCATGGAAATATTTATTCCTTGCCCTTGTTTTGCACCTGCAAGAACACATTGATCTCAAAGACCGGTTCCTGGTCTTGATGCATGATGCATGGCATGGTTGGTTGCTTGAAGTGCCTAATTCACTTGAAGATATACCTCTTTTCAATGGTCATTCCAGATTTCATATTTTGATTAATGCAGAGGAAATGATCGAATGTGTAGCCTGCCTGTTTTGGAGGGTATGCACAAAGATAATCATGGAAGTTATTGGATTTAATGTGCAGCCTTGTCTATTGCCTAATTTTTTCAAAGTTTCACTTCACATTTAACAATCTCAACAAGCTTCTGATTGTTGTTTTTCCTTTTCACAGAAAAGCTTCTTGTGTTATTACGTGATGGGCGAAAGCTTTTGGGCATTCTTCGTTCTTTTGACCAATTTGGTATCTATTTATGCTTTTTTTGTGAACAAGAGCTTTATTTACTCACTATAGATATGCTTCAGTGACAATATTTATTGTTTACAGCAAATGTGGTTCTTGAAGGTGCTTGTGATCGAGTAATTGTAGGAGATCTGTACTGTGATATTCCTCTAGGTCTCTATGTGATCCGTGGAGAGAATGTGGTCTTAATAGGAGAACTGGTATTGATATCTCTTTTTTAACTGAACTCACTATTAATTTGTTGGATTCTTGATGACGTTTTGTTTACTGTATGCTGGTCAAAATCTGCAAGGACTTGGAGAGGGAGGAGCTCCCAGCCCACATGATATGTGTTTCAGCTGCGGAGATAAAAAGGGTGAGTACCATCACTTGGAACATACTTGTTATCATATACTCTTGTACTGTTGTACATGCTTCTGGAGGCTTGATTAAAATTTTCTTTTTGTACTGCTCTAGATGCCTCTGCATTAATTTTCATTTAATGTATATTTGTATGTATTCTTAGATGCCTTCACATATCTTCTATCTGCTTGTTCTTTTCTTGTAACTTCATATGCTGCTACCTTCACTTAGAACATACTTGTAATTGTATACTCTTGTACTGTTGTACATGCTTCCAGAGGCTTGATTAAAAATTTTTGATGTGCTATTCTAGATGCCTCTGCATTAATTATCATGTAACTTAAATGTACTTGTATTCTTAGTTGCCCTCACGTATCTTCTGGCTACTTGTTTTCTTCTTGTGACTTCATGTGCTGCCACCTTCATGCAGTTAATAGTCAAGTAGGTTACATGTCGTCCTGCTTGTTCCTTTTTGTTCTGTTATTTCGGACTTGCTTAAAGGATGTGTCAGTATAGTTTGTGCAATGTCAGTGACTTTTGGATAAGCTTCATATGCATGGTCCTGGATTTTTGGGGAAGCTCTCAAAAGCATCGCTCGCAACTGCTAACCATAGCATGTTCTCAGGCCTATTTAATTAGGGTCCAGTGAATATGTTCAAAAGTATAATTAGGACACTTTTGGCTAGTAGTTTATGCTCATATTGCATCTTGAAGATTGTAGTAGCATGTCCTTGTCATTTATTGCTAAGAAAGTATGCTTGAAGTCATTCTTCTAATGATGAGGTTATTGTGCACTTCTAACAGGCTCAAAGAGCTGAAAGGGATGCCACAGATCTCAAAGGCTCTATGAGAAAGAGGATGGAATTTCTTGATCTGGATTAACATCATGCTCTGCAATCCTCACTCATTCATTACCATTTTTGGGGTGCTTCAAAGATCTTGTCTGCAACTTTTATTGCGGTTTATTTCAAAATGGCTACATAAATCCCCTTTGCGATTGTTAGTTCTTCTGATAAAATTGAAAATTAGGGTTTGTATGATTGCTTTTTGTTCTGGTAATTAATCGAAACTTGATTGAAAGTTTCATATTTTCATTCTGCTTCCTGATTGTTTGACATTGAAGTTCATCATGATGATGACTGGCATTTTGCAATTCTGATGTTTTTGAAATGGTTCTCATGACATGCATAGTTATTGTGATTGAACAGTATCTTTTCTGCATTTAGACTCATCTGAGTGATTTAGGTAGATTGAAGTGTTGGAAGATTTCTTGAAGTTTGACATTTTGCACATGCAGCTAATGTAATGAACAACTCAATTAATTTCTTTTTATTCTATAACTCTTTCTAAGTTTGACAGTGCAGACACTAAATCTTTGTGTTCATGTCTACATAATTATTCTAAAATTATGATATATTTATAAAAAAAAATATTTTATCATGATTAGAACATAAAAATATTTGAACATTCTATAATAATATGGTAAAGCAATTTAATCATAATTAATTGTTGAATCTACTTTTTATGTTGCATTTTTGGGTTCCATTAAAATTACTCATAAATTAGATATGCTCAATTGATTAAAAAAAAAGAAAATAGGAGTGTGTCTCCCTTCTCCCACATGATCCTAATTGTCCACGTAAAAAGCATAATCTCTACCGATGATGACATTATTCAAATAGGTAAATATTATTGGGAGAATTCTAAAAAAAAATCTTCTAATTTATTTTATATTGGGAGTTTCTTCTTTTTTTTGTATATTAACATGATTATATATATATATTCACTTATTTTTAATATATTACACATTCGTATGCCTTCAGAATATTTTTTTTTTTCTAATTTTTATAAATTTAAAATTTTATATTAATTTGATTTTATTTAATTTTTTAGACTGATTTTTAATTTATTGAACCAAACCAAAGAGAGTATAAAGAGAGAGAAACGAAAAGAATGTGTAATGTTATGATTTTTGAAAAAAAAATAAAAACCTAAAATTTTTCTAAGAATTCACCTATGATTGTTCAGATTGATTGAATCATTCACGGAGAGAGACTTTTCTAGTGTGATTTAGTCAGCTAGAATATTCCAGATGATGTTAAGTGTCTCTGACTTGGTAAAAGTCAACTTAAACATGGTCACGGTGGATACGGTTGTGATCCATCTCATCCCATAACAATTTCTCCACGTTTTCCACGCCGTGCTTCGCTTGCTCCCTCCGTGCCGACACCGCCACCACCGCAATCCAACCTCCAAACAGCCCACCTAACAAAATAAATTATTTATTTTAATCAAAATAAATATATTAGAAAATTAGAAAAAGGTTGAAGTGATCGTCTTGAATGCTCTCTCTCTCTCTCTCTCTCTCTCTCTCTCGTTTAACCCCATCCACCAACCCACCCCACCTTGTCATTTTCTCCACCTTTTTTCTTTTACTTGTTTAATATAATATTGTTTTATTTTTATATAGTTTTTAATAGTATATTCCATTAAGTCACGTTGTCTAATTCACCGACGACACACGATAGGGTAAGCACGACGCGGCACGGCACCACAACCACACGCCACGAAGCCACTGGTCACGTGTTCTAAATCACCGACTCCGCGCGACACGGCAACGATGGCATACTATAAATGAAGATAATGGAAGGCAAAGCGGAGGCAAGAGGCATCGAGAAAGAGAAGGAAGAGGGGATATTGGCGGATTTGGAGCTTGTTCTTGGGAGGAGCTACTTGCCGTAGAGAGGGAAAGAGACGATTGAGATGGCGGCGCGGAAGCAGGGGAAGACCAACTTCGCCGTCACCTGCAACCTCCTCAGCCAGTACATCAAGGAGAAGGGGAGAATCGCCGACTTGGGGCTCGGGATGGCGCCCCGACCCCAAGACGCCACCAAAGGTGAGAGCTTGCGGTGGATTTTGATGGGAAAATAAGGGTTTTCTTTGTTGGATTTATGCGTTGATTTTTGCCTTTCCTATCTGATAATTCGGGCTAGAAATTATGGTTTTTTTTTGGATAATTATCTTCGTATGATTCATTTCGACACAATTTTTTAGGCAAATCGGAAGCGTTTCGGCCGCCTACCACCATGAGCCTGTTGCCGGGAGCGGACGTCTCGAGCGGAGAGGGCGAGCAGGAAGAAGGCGTTTTCATGGAGCCGTTTCCCGAGCGTGCCGGCTTCGGCCCCTCCCTTGCGGCGGTGCCGGAAAATGCCAGGTCCGAAATCTTCACCCAGTTCTAGATTCACGTCGATCCATGATTGTGCTCGTTGTCTGTCATTTCATCGCATGTTCTACTTCAATTTGATGTTCGTGGGCAAAGAGAAAGATTGAAGGTGTTCAGCTCAGTTCTAATGGTTGCTTGTACTGCAGGGAACAAGAAAGAGCCCCACTCACGATCTTCTACGGAGGGAAGGTGTTGGTGTTCGACAATTTTCCACTCGAGAAGGCCAAGGATCTGTTTCAGCTTGCAAGCAGAGGGAACTCAACTGCACAAAACTTTGGCAATCTACCAAGAACAGCACAGCCTAATCTTTCTTGTAATGAGTCTCTCCACCTTGTTGTCAAAATTAGCATGACACCGGCTTTGCAAAGCCACAAGTTAGTGATGTTGTTGTTTGGTTGAACTGCAGATCTTCCTATCGCTAGAAAGGTTTCGCTCCAGCGATTCCTCGAGAAGAGAAAAGATCGGTAGGTGATATAATTGTCTCATGGTTTTCCAAGCGGAGAGGAAATATTGCTGAATTATTCTTGTTGGATCTATTGTCGCAATGCTGTGTCGACTAACTTAATACCTCTTGAAACAAATTTTCAGGATCCATTCAAGAGCACCATATCAGGTTTCATCCTCTCCTGGAATGGTCACTCCTGTGAAGCAAGAGAACAGATCATGGCTTGCCTTGGGTCCTCAGGAGGCTAAGCTCTGAGCACAGCAGATAGGAGATCATGCCAAGCTCAAATGATGCCCTGCTTGAAGAAAACCACTGTAAAAACTTTGTATCGTTGTCGCTGATGACTTAGATTTCTGAATTCTTTCTTAACACTCTGTAGCTAATTTTTCCATATAGAAATCAAGGAAACTTGTGAATGTACATCCACTTATTTCAGATTTTGCTAGCAGGAATGATGTTCAATTCTGTGCACTGGCTAAAATTGTTCACAAGTGTTCGATAAATCAAACTCCTAAGTTTAGATCTATCGCCAACCGAAAATGCAAGTCTGCCATTTGTCACTATATTTTCTCAATTAATACAGTCTCCGTGAAGTAAGAAAAAAGTTCTACAAATTCTGTTCAACAGGTCCATGTGATTCAATTTCTATCGGCCTTAGTTCTGATTCAGTTTAACAGAGGGGAAAGAGACCCAATTGCTCGCTACCGATCCCCTTAGTTCTGATTCTTTGTTATTAACAGTTTTAGATAAATGTGTACCTTAGATATATTTGTATGCAGGTAGAAACAGAGAACCTGTAGAACATCAAATTAGGCCAAATGTGGTTATGGATGTGAGTAAATGATGAAAAAGATGACCATAATTATTTGATGAATGAGGAATTAACTCTAATTTCCAACAAATAATCCATAGCATTGAGTTTATCCATCAAGAAAATGATTAATCCTTTAGCTGCTAGTAAGTTCTACTTATCTTTTCATCTTCTGTGTGTCTGCCAAGAACAATTACCTTGTATTGGAACCTAAACTTTGACCCTTTTCAATTAGGGTCAGCTTCTTGAGAGGACAAACCTACATTTATCTTTTTCTGTGTGTCTGCCAAGAACAATTATCTTCTATTGGAACCTAAACTTGGCCCTTTTCAATTAGGATCAGCTTCTTGAGAGTACAAACCTACAAGCATGTGTTTGATGAGGCTTTAATTTTACCAAACAAGTCATGCCTTCATACAAATTTACAATTGAAGAATCGAAAGACATAGATGAAATGGTGTTGGGAGGCCAAGCCTTTCATTTGGGGTGGATCACAAGGCAGCAGGTGATGGGGATGGGTCAGATGACAACTTGTGAATTGTGTGGAAATAGGAGAGGGTGACTATAGTGTCTTTGAATGTTCACCTTCTTCATAAGAAATCTGTCTTTGATTCTTAAGGTTTGATCAAAGGACAATGGATCAAAGTTAGGTAGCCGGCAAATCCCCAATGAATCTTTTGTTTAGTAAATGATCATGTATATATCTAAAATATTCGCGTAGTGATTGTGTACGAAATTTACTCATAAAAAATTGATGGTTCAAAATCTCGTTTGATAATTTTTGAAGACTTTAGTTTGAAATCCATCTTCACCGCTTATTCTTTACGGAAAAAAATAACCACTTGTTAAATAGATCTCAGAATAATTAGGTCCACTGCTAAACAACCAGGAGATGTTTTAGATCAAGATCCTAAAAGTTCTATGGCAAATCCTTTTGTTTATTGTTCTAATTCTTTGGTGGTCCTTGTGCAATGAACTTGCTAAAACTATTCATTATTAGTATTGTCATCATTTTCCTCCCATAAGAATTGTTTATTGGATTAGGTCAGTTTGCTTTTAGGTAGAAATGTGTGAGAGTGAGATACATAGTGCCTATGAATCATGAACTTTTTAGGGGTTTCACATGTTTGCTATGTTTTGACATTTTAAGGTGCAACATTAAGGACAACAACATATCCAGCAAACTGCTGTTTGATGTGAAGTTTCTACCAAATATGAGAGACAAAAGGATCTATCTGTACCTGAAGAGTCAATGTAGTAGCTAATCATGAAATATAGGTGGAATTGGTGATCTGCTTATCTTTTATGAGGAACAGTACCCTACCAAACATCATTCTCATCCAAAGTTTGTGTGTCAGCTAATAATCCTTAATGAAAGAAATTCATCTTTTTCATTTAATAGTCTGAAACAACCATTTGATCTCAAATTAACATGTATGAATGGCTGAAGCTTTATAAGAAATCAGGTGTTCAAAATTCAGTCAGCACCTAAGTTGCTCCTATTCTCATCCTGATATCTGCATGAACTTCAGTGGTTGCAGTGTTCTGTAAAGGTTGCAATTATTAATCAGATATAATCAAGAAAAAAAAAGAAGTAAATGCTTTGGACAAAGCAATCAGCAGATCAGCAGTGACATTGTTGTAGATCATGAATGTTTGGTCTATCACTTAGAA